TTTTTTTTTTTTTTTTTTTTTTTTTTCAAATCTTGGTGATTTTGGCCAATTTAAGTCTTCCAAATTATATACTGCAGTGCCGCACTTTGCTCAACTCCCACACGCGTGACCATGAAGACGATCATATACAAAATGGAGCAAGAACGGAGATAATATCTTGGGACGATGCATTACGCAAAAGCACGCAAGAGTACCAACACCAGTCATACAACATCTTAACCTGCAACTGTCATTCTTTTGTGGCAAATTGTCTGAACAGGTTGAAATTTGATGCTGGCGGCTGGAACGTGGTAAACCTGGCTCTTCTTATTTTCATCAAGGGAAGATTCATAAGTAAACTTGCCATTCTTAAGACATATTTACCTTTTGTCGTGGTATCTGGCCTTGGGCTTGCGTTTGGAGGAGAAACCTTCCTCACTTATTTGGCCCTTTTTGTTGTTGTTCTAGTCGGGTGGTTTCTTGTTGGCACTTATTGTTTTAGAAAGTTGATTTACGTGTAGCTTCTGTAGTCTGTACCATCTTTGGCTCTAGCTGGTTTTGCATCGCTCATTTGGCATATTATACTAAAACTAGTAAAATACTTGAAAATGTCGATTCTTTTTGGTAAGCATGTATACTCTTTTGTGTACATTTGCATTTGTGAAATTCCAATTGAGCAGATTGGACGCTTTTGCGTTGTGCAGTTTCAACTTGTGAGATGCGTAGTATGATATGATGTTACATTGTTGTGAAATAACTAATATCAAGTGATCGTTTTTGTATATGAATGAATGGTGTGAAGATTTTTTTTTTTTTCTTTTTTTAACCTAGTTTTCTATTTTTCAAGTGAGAGTTGTTAAATGATGTTATTTTTTTTTTATTTTTTTTGTCCATGAAACTCATCAATGCCGATCGATCAGTGCTACTACCATGTGTCCTGGCACACCTAGCAAGGTGTGCCAAGACAGTTTAAAATGAAATGTTACTTTATAAAATGAACATGTGTAAACAAGTTTAGACATGTTCATTTTATAAAATAACATGTTCATTTTAAAAAAGCCTTGGCACACCTAAGTATTTGCGCCGATGGATAACATATAATGGAATGTCTCATCAGTCTGCCCACCATTATGCTTCTTTGTTTGGTTTCCAGTTTCATATATTGACAATGTCATCTTATATTAAGGACTTCACATCCGGAAAATCCAAACTCATGTTTATAGGAGTATATTCGCGCTATACTCGAATGTTCTTGCCGACATTGAGAGAAAAGCTCTTGGCAGTGGCTCGACGTAACCTCCTCATTCCATCACCAACCCATGTGAGATTTACGACATATTGATTATTGCACTTTTGATTGAGATGAGCAACCGACTTGTGGTTCGCTTCTTATCATTTTGATTAGCGAGTGAGGAACCGAGCTGTGGTTGCCCACTTCGCTTCTGTGTGCCAAAATCGGTCGATGTAAAAAGAATTTTTGATCTATAAAATTTTATTTAACGATCAAAAAAAAAAAAAGGACTTCACATAATATCAACCTGAATTAGCAAAACATTCGAAAAATTTGATAGAAAAAAAAAATTAAATTTGTAAAATTAAATTCGAAAAATTTAACTATAATGAATTAAGTTGTCTTCATATTCCCTTTACTCATTAAAATCCACTTTCATTCGTCTAAAACTGACCTTTTATATTGGGTCATGAGTATCTAATTAATCTTGTTAATTTGACTAGACAAAAGTAAACTAAAAAACAATTTCATAATCTAACGGTTCAGATCCATTGGGTTTGAGATCAGAGAGAGAATGAATACATTTGCCAAATCAGTTGAATGAAATCACAATTTCACAACCTCTCGGCCCTCGCCACCCCCGTCACATTCCTCCCTCTGTCCCCACCGCGTCGCTGCCCGCTGCTCTCAGTCACGGCCGCCGCTGATTTCCGGCCGCTCTGGACGGCCACGGCAACAATTTCTCCAGAAGGCTGTGTAATTCCCAGAAGTAGTCTTTCTAGTGCAAAAAGGGGAAACCATGGAACTTATTTGCGATTCAGCTTTGAATGAAACCTGATTGTACTTATCCCCAAGGTGGAGCATCCGCAAACAATCAAGCAATACAGGGGCCACGGAACGGAATACACTGTAAGCCCTTTGATTCTTGTAATCTTGTTTGATTTATTTAAGGTAACTGTGGGAAGGGCCGAAAAATTGGGGCCGGAAAAATGTTGAGAACGCAGAGGTAGTGAAAACTGTGGAACTAATTGGGGGCTGGGCCCGAAAAATCTGAAGTGAAATTGCCTCGAGATTGGAATTAATTTTATGAAACTTTGAATTATAAATCTTCGCATCTTTTCATAAGAAACTTTGATTTATTTAAGGTAACTATTCAGGTACCCTATTACCCGACGGTTAAAACCCAACCCGAACCCCGTGGTAGATAATCGGGTAGCGGGCCGGGCACCCAACGTAACCCATTTACATCACTAGTACAGTCCGGGTCATCGACCAGGGTTTAAAACTATGATAAAATGAAGTAAATTTGGTAGGATTTATTGTTTCTTTCCCCCAATTCACCGTCTTCACTTTTCACACATCCGCACCCCTCCGTTCTCGCCTCCTTTCTTGCATCCATTCTCCATCTTCGTTGAGGCCCCGCGCGGCGCCTCGTCGCTTTCGTTGTCCGTCTCCGTCGAGGCCTCTCGCTCTGCCTTCTCCTCTATAATGATCCCCAATCCCGAGCAGCTTCCATCCTCCATTACGGTCTTTGGAGTGAATTGCCAAGTTTTTCACCTTCATTTGTATGTTGTGTTGCTCAAGTCTGGTTCTTTTGGAGTTAGATCTAAGGGTGGCTGCTAAGCCTGCTATTCGTGTAGGATTTTGGCTAATTTGTGAGTTCTCTATTATTCTGATTACCTATGGCTTCACTTTGTTGTTTGATTCTAGGCTTCTAAGGTATTCATTATTTGATTTCTCCTTTCCTTTTCATTTTTTCACCCTTTTCGTTACATTAGAATTAATTGCTAGATGCATTTGATTTTCTGGAAGTTGCACAACTAGGTAATATTAACAAAGTTTTGCTGGTGTCTACTTTCTGATTATGATATCGAGATTCTGCTCTTCAAATTAAGAACTTTGATAATCAGTGACGATGATGATTGGACACATTTTTTTTTTTTGTAATTTAAAAATTTCATAATACATGACTCTCTTTTAAATTTACATATGGTAAACATTTGCTAAAAAAGTGAATGGGGATCTCTTGAGATATTGATCAATCAATTCAATTCATTTTGTTCGGGTGAATGTAAATAAAGCGCAAAAAAATAAAATAAAAAAATATGACATTGTGTGGTGGGGCGGGCTGACCCCCGCCCCGCAGCTGGGCAGGTCATGGGTCTGCTTGCTGGACCTGTCACGGGCCACGGGGCGGGGAAGGGCGGGGCGGGAGGGTAGGTACACGGGACAGATTCTGGTCCGGAACTACTCAGCCTGACCTAGCCCATTGCCATCCTTAATCACTGAGGTCAAAGGTGGTGCCGCCCGAGCAGCCACAGCCGCCACCCTTTCTGTCGATCCAAGTTCCCTGTCTGGCAACAGCGGATCTTTTTAAGAGTCTGGTTATCTGTACTTTCTTCTTCTTATGCTAATCATAGGTTCAGTATGATTTGGCAATGTTTTCTGTTCTGCTTTTTCGACTCTTATTTTTGTTTTCTACTTAGAGTAAGTATTCTCAATTGTGAATCGTGGCTCATGTTTAACTTCTGATTTTAGTTAATACACTATGCAATGGCGTTTGACAGTTTGACTGGCATTGTTGAAACTATGCGAGGAGTGAAGTAGCTTGAATACTGATATAGAGCTGACATTACAGAGAAAAAAAAATGGAAAATTGTTGATGCCGAACCAGTTATGGTTTGTGATTTGGTCTTTGAGCAGCTTCTTTTGTAGCTAAATGTTGTTTGCATCATTCTAAAACTTTGATTGGGATTATTGTAAAATCTTGTTTCACTTTCAGGTAGCAGGTCAATTTGTTGCCACAATAAATGCTCAGAGAATGACCTTGTGTTGTATTCTCATCCATCAAAACGTCTTTATGGTTCTACTTTCTCTCCAAAAAAATACTGTGATCAGAAACATCTATACCTATGTTACTTGATTTGCTTCGACTTTTCCGTAGTTGTCACATTGGTGCACTTAAGTCAACTGGGTTTTCATTTGCATTTCATTTTTTCACCTCTTTACTTATCTTAATTACTATTGTAAACTGTGTAAGAGTAACTATTCTAGTAATTGGTGGTTCTTTCCTGAAAAATACATTTAGTCTAGAACTACATATGATGCTTTTGGAAATTAGCACTTTAATTAATTAGTCTGTTAAATTAAATTGAAGATGTCCGAAATATGATTTCAACAGTTGGACTTGGCTCATCAAATCACTACTTTGCATTGTTGGTTCCACAAGTAATAAGTAGACCCTACAAAATTAGGTTCCTTCTTTCGATATTCACTTACTCACCATAGTTCACCTATTCCTTCCTAGTTTTTTTTCAGAATTCAAACTGAAGACTGTGTGACGGCAATATTTTATATGGAGCAGTCGTTTATCAAAAAAGGACGATGTATATATGTACATGATGTGAAGATGGGCATGCCTGAAGCCGTTGATGTTCACCATATCATGGTTGCAAGAGGCATTGCGGGAGGTTACAAATTCTGCACATGTGCTCTTGTTTTTGCTATCATCAGTTCTCTTATTCTCCTACTCTTGCAGGTACATTTTTAGTTTTATGTTTCCATGTCCATTAGTAGTAGTAAGAATAAGACTGGATACTAATTCTTGCATCAATTCACTTGACAAGATCTTGGCCCATGTGGGATTTGACTTTTTGTCAATACAGATGATGTAGCACTGTGTGTCGTATTTCCTTTATTTTGAACTTGTATATTCCTCTTAAGAATTTCATGAACTGTCAAGTTTAGGCCTGATTGAATTCCACAATCGTGCACACTGGAAAAATGGAATGCGAAGTTATGTTAGTATGGAAGTAAGAAGTTTAGCTTGATCTGCAAAAGCTTTAGTATGCATTTTTACATGGTTTGTGAGTATTTCATTAAGAATCTTGGAGCTTGTACTGTTATAGTCAGTAATTCAGCTTTATACATAGATCAATAACATTTTTTTATAATATCTAGAATGTGACAAGTTTCTGCCAAGATTTGATGCTGGACAAGGCAGTTGCTAGTGTTCTATGGAGCTTTTCTTTAGCTGGTTTCTTTTTGAGGCAATTGCTCGGAAAGCAAGTTGAGAAAGGTGAGGAGTTGAGACCAGATGGTGGTGTAGCCTAAATAATGCGAATCACATACTTGATTAGGTGAATATGACCGCTCAGCCTTTGTTAGAATGATTTGACATGTTGGGTGCCTTTCTTGTCTGCACAATCGTCTATAACTCAAAAAGTGGGCATTTTATGTGTAAAAAACTCTGTTGTTCTCTATATGTTTTTTTTGTGATATCGGGTAAATTCAGGGTTTTCTTGCTTTGTAGCTCATTTTTCACCAGTGCTAACAATGGTTGATGTTTGTTGCCCCTTCATTGGTTTAGAGGTCTGAAATTTGACTAAGCTCTCTCTGCTTGTGAAGACGTTGAATATTGCCCAGGGCACAATCCTATAAATTTGATCGGTGATATTACAATATTTTCACCGGATATACTTTCTGATCAGTATCCTCTAATGTTAATACAAAAAGTTTATTCTCTGGGAAAAAAACAATTGAAAGGGTATACTATTATGGGGATGAAGTTCATTTTCTTTTCGTTCACCAGTTCACCTTATGCTTTCTTCTTTTGCTTTGTAACAGAGTCTGTTGTAATTTTGCCCGCTTTTGGGGTTCAGCTTGAGACCACTTACAGAAGGTATTCCTTTATAAATGCTTTGTTTTCCCATAGTATGCGAGTTCTCCATTTTGTCATCATTATAAGAGTCACTGCTTCTCTTTTCCTTTTGGTGACATCCATTAAAATTGGACCTAAAGAGAAAATAAAAGTAACCCATGTTCAAGGAAGCCCCATCAATCTTGAAATGGTCCAAATTTGTTACCAAAAAATATATGACTCTGTTAGTTTAGACATGACCGCCTCATATGTGCTTTTCGATCGATGGACTTAACAATGACAAGCCCAATACTTGTTTTCTGACATTATCTGATTTGTTTGAATCAGTGGGAAAACAATTCACCACTTTGTACCAATTGGCAAGATATTGAAACCTGTCCTGAATGAATGTGTGACTCCAGTTACCTGCTACTGGAGCCTATCTCTAATTTTACGCAATGAGGACGAACTTCTGCTGGTTTTTAAGGTATCTATATTAAATACGGTTTTTTGGACTGTAGAAGAAACAAAAGACTTTTCTATTGTACCATGAGTACTTTGTTCCCAGTTATTTACAGATGCTAATGAGAATTCCAGTCAAGTGATTTTCATTTTTTTCTAGCTGTTGAAACAAAATGTTGTGATTGTTAGTTATATAACGTCATTGTCCAGGAAATATATCCTCCTGTCACGATGCTAGTTCCAGTCTGGAAAGCTCTTTGTGCTGCCATTGACGATGAAGAATACACTGGCTTTCGTTCAGATTGTGACTCTAGATGATGCAATCCCATGCATCAAGAGTAGAACATCGGCCAAGGTAAATTTTGCAACTTAACTGCTCGATCCTTTGTCTATTCTTGTAAAGCTGTTTACGCTCATCAATATGGGCATTTTCAGGTATATTTTTGTGAATCTTGGAGTGGAGTGCATGGCTTTGGGTGCCAAAATCTGTTTGTGAGAAATGTTCTTTGTGTCCTTGCGATGCGGTTGAGTAGTGAAATGTGTAGATATATTTTTGGGTCGGCTTACTGATGCACTTTAAGGTCACGAATCCTTTTCAATCCCATATTTGTTAATGCGGATAAGATCACGAATCCTTTTCAATCCCATATTTGTTAATACGGATACTGGTCCGATGGATTGGATTCGGCTCGTAACTAAATCCTCCTATATTCTGCTCTGTATGATTAATACATCCAGGGGAGAGGTTATTTGAATGGATTGAATAACTGTTGTATATCAATTGCATAATTGTCGCATATTCATGCACAATTTCTCCGCACTATAACTTTATCACCACATAGGGTTATGCGAACAGACCGCATTATTGTCATATATCTATCGCACAATGTCTTCACACTTTTTTGGGTGAAAAACATTTCTTAGTATTCAATTCACATTCAAAAACCAAAATCCGGTGCTGAGCCGTAAGACTTGCAAGCTCTCTTTGTTTCTTTACTAATAGTCTAATACCTTATCTCCACCCGTGTAATGAATTTATATTTCAATTTTTCAAAATATATATAAATATTTCTATTATATTTACTTTTACGTTGTGTTATTATTTTTATTTTAAATTATACATATCACACGTAAAATTTGTTTGTCCTTGTTATAATAAATTTTATACTCGTGCCATAATATATTTAATAGATAAATGTGTAATTGATGAGTAATAGTTTATTACTAAATTATTATTGTTAAATAACTTATCCCCTATATATATTTCCTGAATGCGCTGAGCTTACGTGGCTGTTTCTGGTGCTTCAGAATCCTACTTGTGGAAGAATTATGCTTCGTAATTAGGTTTGGACAAATAATATTGATATATTAATAATTAATAATATAGGTTCGAACATTCCATAAATATTTTTTAGCTAACTTAAGTATTTTAATATTATTTATACTAATATAATCATTTTTTTTATTTTACTTTTAAAAACAATGTTGACCATAAATAGAGATGTCCAAACACAATACCATATTGTCAAGTTCCAAGTGCAAATTCAGTTTAGGGTTTAGGGTTATGCAAAGAATTAAAGATTTCACTAACTACACCTGCCTCTCTGTTCACAGATAGTAAATCAGCTATTGCAATGGCCTCAAATCCTGTATTTCATGAGAGAACTAAACACATCGAGCTCGATTGTCACTTATTTAGAGAGAAGATAGCTCAAGGCTTGATCCACCTTCACCATACTCCAACCACAGACCAACTGGCAGACTTCTTAACAAAATCTCTACCAGGCCCTTTGTTCCATTCACTTCTCTCCAAGTTGAGCATGCCAAACATCCATGCTCTACTTGCGGGGGTAATAGAATTATAAGTTGTACATTTTATGCTTTAGAGTATTGTACTTAAAGTCTTTTATTTGTAGTTCCTTTTATATGTAAAAGTGTTATTAGTCTTTGACACTTCCACTTATTTTACCACATGTATATAAAGGGTTTGCTAACCGTAAAACACAGTGTAATTTTTCATTCTCCCACCTTCAATAATCAAATCGCCGCTTTTTCTTTCTCTCTCTATTCTTTCTCTCTTGTTCTTTCTTTTCTTCTTTGAATCGATAATTTTGATAGAAAATCCATTAAAAAAAATCAAAGGAAAATCCATGAATGGGTTATTAAACTGTTGATAAACGGATTTGATCAATTAAAATATACACCCATATTCTGTGAATAATCGGTGTTGGATTAATAAGCATTTCTATTGATGTGTAGGAGATGAATATATATCTCATTTCTCGGTATTCTTGTTGGAGGAAGACAATGAATAGTT